ACACACACACACACACACACACACACACACACACACACACACACACACACACACACACAGGCACACACACAAAAAAAAAAAAGGTTCTTTCACCCGTTGTCCAACCAAGATGTTTACAAAAATAAACACATACACACATACACATGAAAGTGAATCCGTCATTCTAAAGTTTTTTCACCCGTTGTTTTCACACACACACACACAAGAAAGTGCATTCACTCCAATTTGAGAAAATTGTATGTATGTGTGTGTGTGATAGTACATATCCCGACACGGCAAACATCATCGACAGTAATACTTATATCTCACGTGATAGGTGGGATCGAGAGAGAATATAAGATGATGCCTCTCAATTGAATGTGATTAAAATTGAGGTCGCATTCATTCAATAAAGCACTTGAAAAACAAAGAATTTAAGATACTATGATAAACTGATTGACTTGCAGTTTTGATAAGTTTTGATCAAAGAGTCGACATCATGCCTATTTATTTGTAGCTGATAATAATTGTAATAGAAGAGGAGTCTGTGATAATAACAAAAATAAAGAAAGAAAAACTATTTTGTTTTTCCTCTCTAATTGAAAAAACTAACATGTTCGTTTGAGATATTGTTTTTTTTTTAGTTACTTCTATTATCTACTGCAAAAACAACATTTAATTTATATGATATGATAGTTTTTTTAAGAAACTGGATAAAATTTTATGATAAGTATTGCAATAAAAAGTTAGCATTCAAATTATTGAGCCTTCACATATGGTCAGATGCATTTACGATTGTTTAGATCATATCCAAAAAAATAAAAATGAGAAGCGATAAATTTAGTTGATAGAGTTTTCTTATGGTCGTTTAAAAAATACATATACTTTAATCATTCAATGACTATCAACACATTTTGTTTAGAGTCCAGATTAATTTTATAAGATATTGTTATCTACCTACACACTTTGGTTTGTATGACTAAAAGCAGGTCGGTCAAAAGTTTATAAATAAAAAATCAATTAAATCATATGATAAAATTAGTATTCAGGGTAAAACCTTACTAAACTATGACTGTGTAGAAAAATAACAAATAGTTAATAAAAAAAATATATGCATATAAAAATTCATGAACTTGAACCATAAAACTTGTCGATTTCAAACAATGATTATTTACAGATGAAAATTGTTGATACTTGTGATCTTGATTTTTGTATGATTTTAATGATCAATACACAAATGTTTGTAAATTGTAAATATACGGAGTAGGTTGAACAAATTTGTGACCTACAAAAACTGAAGGAAAAAATAAGGTAGTTAAGTTATTAATTTAAAAAAAAAAGTATAAGAGATTGGTCAAAATTTTAAATCCTATTACAACTTGAGTTTGAGCAAGGGATATGTCGAGATAGCAACCGTTGACCTCAATGACCTTTATTTTTATATGTGTTCAATATATAATACAAAAATATTTATAGTAAGTTGAATAATATTTTAATAAGGAAAAACCACAAACATTTAGTTTCAAATATATGTTCACGAATTCGACCAAATAAATATTTGTTTATGATAATTTATGTTATAAATTATATGTTTATATTAAAAGATTAATGCTCGAAACGATATTTTAGTAAAGAAGCGAAGTGATCATAAGATGTTGGACTATGCTTAATTAGTTCAGACACTCTAAGTATGATTTAAATATAATTATGAGATAGAATTAGTAAAAAATGATGGAATAATATACTAAAATATAAGTTTAACTGCAGTAATGTCTATCTCGTAGTACCGAACTTGTATAGAGACATTAGAAGGTTTGTTTTCATGACTTTCTGTGAATATTTTATAATTTTTTTCTCGACTAACTATCCCCTTGCCTAAATTACTGACTTACGAATAACTAGGGAGGGGTCTTTTTCTAACCTAAACTACCTCCTAATGCAAGCGTATCATGACAATATCGTGACAACTTAGGTAGTACTAGCGGCGTTGTCAGGTAGGCTTGCTTCAGTAACGAGCGGGCATAGCAACATTACCGTGAGTGGCGACATCTTAACAACTTCGAACGTGAATAGCATCGTCTGAAATACTTATGATACTGGGATTTAGCAAGGTGCTAATAACAATTGATACTATAAGTATTATGATACACATGCGGTACTAACTCATACATTCATATTTTTTTCCAATCTAATGTAATCAACGAACATACCACCATAGTATTAGCATATTTGTCTGATAAAAATAAGGTTTCTGTTTTGTTTAGATCATCAATATGCCAGTGACTAGAGTTCGTTCAATAGGACCCCGGTAGGCAACCGAGATCCCCGACAATAACGTCATCTTTCAAGTGCATTGGTCCTACACAGAGACCCTCTCAGCCGCGTCACGGAGGATTTTAAAATTTGGGACGTAAAGCGTTTTTAGGAGTCGTGTTGCTCTGACCGACTGCGCCAACTTTACCTCTAATAAGTTCCTATGACATGATATGATCTCCCAAGGTGCAACTTTTTCTCCACCCATGGTAGATGTCACAATCCTTGGGCGGGTGAAATCAAAGTTTAGGATGAGCAATCAATGCGAGAGTTAACAATAATATACAATTTTTCAGCCAAAACAAAATGTTTCAGTTCTTACATAAATTTTAAGGGCTTCGTAAAAAAAACAATCTTGTTTAAATAATCCACTTAACTCCGAGCATAAATGTATATTATTGCCCAATTTGCATTTACACTCAAACCAATATTCGTTATGAGTTAACAAATTGGTTAAGGAAATCTACCTCCAGGGTTTTCATCATCAAAATCTACAAGTATTATTAAGAGAGAATATAAGATGTCACCTCGTGATTGAATGTGATTAAAATCGAGGTCACACACATCCAAGAAAGCATTGGGAAAACAATGAATTAGTCTATAGTAATTACAAAAGTACATTAAAAAAAACGGTTTCGTTT